TACTTGTGACAGAAATAGAATTAAATAGGTCATGCTGTTTCCTTTATCCTAGAACATCTTTTCTCTTCAAAGCAAGATTTCTTGGTATCGGGTCATACGTCTGTGGTTTTCAGGTTGGGAATGGCAGATGAAGGATCTTTACTGGTGTTAGAACATGTTTTGCCTACTCTGGCCCCCCTGACGCCTACCAAGTGTCCAGGTCACCCGGTCACCTCCATTTAGACGTCTTCCTCATCTAAGATGAAAGCGCAGAAGTAGAGCTTGACAAATAAGTCTCTTGAATGCTGCAAGAATGTTTATTAATATACTTTTATTTCTTGTCCATCTTTGTTCCCTCTTTTAAAAAAAAAATACTTTTTTATTTACTTTCGGTTTTCTGGGTCTGTGTTGCTGCGCTTGGGCTTTCTCTAGTTGTGGCTAGTAGAGACTCCTCTCTGGTGGTGGTGTGCGGGCTTCTCCTTGCGGTCGCTTCTCCCGTGTGGAGCACGGGCTTCAGGGCCCACGGGCTCAGTAGTTACAACTTTGAGCTCCTTCCTCATTTTAACCATTTGTTGATCCTTTGCTGGCTGACCACTCAAGCCGTTCTCAGCCAATGATCTCATCTCTATCTTGCAATAAAATAGCAGGTATCAACAAGAATCCACTCCACTCCCTCCCAGAAGCCACATTTATCCACATTCACACTCATTTTTCAAGGTACTCACCTGTACCTTGGCCACACATAGTCTGTATATGGGCATCTCAGGCTACTTGTGCCCCGCCTACATTTGCACCACCGCACGCCCACCCGACCCTGGACGAGAAGGGGTCTTATGCCTGTCCCTCCGTTGTTTTGCACCTGCTGTTGATTCTGCCTGATTTTTAATAAATCTTCCCAGCTGCTTCTGCTTTTCTCTGCTTTCGTCACTTCTGGGACACTTTGTTCCGCTTTGCCTTTGGGGCTGTTCTGTGTTAGCCCGATGCCTCCTTTGCCATAGCAGCTCGCGTGTTGCCTGATGGTTCTCCCTTCAGTCACCTGTCATCTCTGTCGGAGTCCTCACCAGGCCAGGACACCCCTTCCCTCTCTGGTGCTCAGCAGGAGTGCCGCCACAGGGGAGGGGCTCAAGGGGGGCGGTGGTGTTGGGTTGTTTTTTTAATGTAGTAAAAATTACTTTTTTTGTTGTTAAGAATGATAGTTGCTTTCTTAATTTCTGAATTTATTAATTCACGAGAATTATAATATCTCATTTTGCTACTTATAACTAAAATCATCTCAATTTTTGTTTTGTATTGTATTGTTGTTTGTTTGAATCTTATCTGCTTCAATCTTATCTTATGTTTCTCCTCCTTGCATTGGTCATTGGAAGATCATAGTTATGTTAGCAACCCACTTTCAGCTACTGCAAGAGACATTGTGGCTTTCCCGTATGTTCCAAGAATATTTTTCATGTTTATTCTTCCTCTGCCACTATTTAATGAGTATTCCTTTTATATTTATCTGTTTTCAAAAATTCTGAATACATACCTCTTCAATAAATACTCAATTCCTCCTTTGTGGAAAAACATTTAAAAATCTCAGGTGACCATGTACAAATTGTATAAGCCTACTTCTATGTTCAAGCTGGTTTTAGAAAAGGCAGAGGAACCAGAGATCAAATTGCCAACATCCGCTGGATCATCGAAAAAGCAAGAGAGTTCCAGAAAGGCATCTATTTCTGCTTTGTTGACTATGCCAAAGCCTTTGACTGTGTGGATCACAGTAAACTGTGGAAAATTCTGAAAGATATGGGCATACCAGACCACCTGACCTGCCTCTTGAGAAACCTATATGCAGGTCAGGAAGCAACAGTTAGAACTGGAAATGGAACAGACTGGTTCCAAATAGGAAAAGGAGTACGTCAAGGCTGTATATTGTCAGCCTGCTTATTTAACTTATATGCAGAGTACATCATGGGAAATGCTGGGCTGGAAGAAGCACAAGCTGGAATCAAGATTGCCGGGAGAAATATCAATAACCTCAGATATGCAGATGACACCACCCTTATGGCAGAAAGTAAAGAGGAACTAAAAAGCCTCTTGATGAAAGTGAAAGAGGAGAGTGAAAAAGTTGGCTTAAAGCTCAACATTCAGAAAACTAAGATCATGGCATCTGGTCTCATCACTTCATGAGAAATAGATGAAGAAACAGTGGAAACAGTGTCAGACTTTATTTTTTTGGGCTCCAAAATTACTGCAGATGGTGATTGCAGCCATGAAATTTAAAAGACACTTACTTCTTGGAAGGAAAGTTATGACCCACCTAGATAGCATGTTAAAAAGCAGAAGCATTACTTTGCCAACAAAGGTCCGTCTAGTCAAGGCCATGGTTTTTCCATTGGTCATGTATGGATGTGCGAGTTGGACTGTGAAGAAAGCTGAGCACCGAAAAATTGATGCTTTTGAGCTGTGGTGTTGGAGAAGACTCTTGAGAGACCCTTGGACTGCAAGGAGATCCAACCAGTCCATCCTAAAGGAGATCAGTCCTGAATATTCATTGGAAGGACTGACGCTGAAGCTGAAACTCCAATACTTTGGCCACCTCATGTGAAGAATTGACTCATTGGAAAAGACCCTGATGCTGGGAGGGACTGGGGGCAGGAGGAGAAGGGGACGACAGAGGATGAGATGGCTGGATGGCATCACCAACTCGATGGACATGAGTTGGAGTATAACTCCGGGAGTTGGTGATGGACAGGGAGGCCTGGTGTGCTGCGATTCATGGGGTCGCAAAGAGTCGGACACGACTGAGCAACTGAACTGAACTGACTCCTACAAAGACATTGTCATCCGTTTGAATTAATATTTGTCTCACACAATTAAATGCATTATACTTTAACTTGCTGTTTAGATAGTTTTGCTTTTCGAAATTAAATAAATTGAGGTACGGTATTTAGATGCTTCTTCAAAGAGAATAACCAAGGTCATCACTTTAAAATCTTGTCTAAAATCAGTGACAATAAAACACAGAAGCCCATTTGTCTCCAGATCTTTTCTCTTACCCCTTGATCACATTTCTCCACTCCAAGAGATCTGTGGTAATCATTAAATTGATTATCATTGATAATACTGATGTTCCAGAAATAGTTAGATTATATCCTGGCTCTTTTAAATGTTAACTAAATATCAGTAAATGCAAAGTCAATGTAATTGATTACCCCCAGAAACTTAGAACTCAGTTGTAGAGAATTCACACTTTCATGGATATAAATGTCATTGAGCAGCATATGTAATTTGATCTTACAGAATGATCATTTCTCTGGACCTTTTTCACTTCCAAAATAGCTTTGAAATAACCATCGTGCACTTATTATCACATCTGCACAGTGTCCTTAGAATGTCCCTGTAGAACCAGGAGGATGACTTTAACTCTTGTCGCATTGTCTTTCTGTTGTTGAGCTATGACCGTTCTTCATCAGTTCATCTATTCTGGATGCTCGACCATTATCAGATGTGTGATTTGCAAATATTTTCTCCCACACTGTGGATTGTCTTCACTTTCTTCCTAATGTTGTTTGACAGAGAAGTTTTTAGTTTTGACGGAGTCCATTTTATCTGCATTTTTTGCGTCGTTTTGCTTTTGTTAGCATGTCTAAGAAACTAATAACTAAGACGACAGAGACTAACTGCTCTTGAACCTCGCTAGTGAAATTTTCATTTGAGTTATACTTTGTACTTCAAGAATTTCTTTTGATTTTTTTCTGTATTAATACTCTCTGTTTTGGTGAGGCATTGTTCTCATACCCTTCTTTAGTTTTTTCCATGCAGTCTATCTTTTCGCTCCTTGAATACACTGCAGATAACTGATCTATGTCTAGAAAGTGCGCTGTCTCTCTTTCTGCAGGGACAGTTTCTATTGGCTACTTTTTCCCTTGTTTACAGACTATACTTTTGCATTTCTCTGTACATTGCATATTTTCATTTGTTTAAAACTGGACATTTAATAAATAAATTTCCGTGTGGGAATCAAATTCTTCACATTCTGGGCTGGGACTTTAGTTACTTTTCCAAATTTATATTGTAAAGTCAGTATTTATCCTTCATTGCCATGGAAGTGTCTTCTCTGTTAGTGTAGTGCTTAGCTGATGACTGAACAGAGATTTTATCAAATGCTTAGAAACTAAGTCCCTCATCTTTGCCAAGAGCCTGTGAGTACATGTTGGAGTATGTCTTCAGCACTCAGCCAGTCAGTTTGCAGCTAACTCTGGCTTAGCCTTGCCTGTCCTTCTTACACTGAACCTCAAGGTCAACCAGAGGAGAGCACTCAGGACCTTCTCAGGTCTGTCCTAGGCAGCTGTATGACACGGTACCTAATTCCAGAACTACTAATTTCCAGCTTTGCAAAGCCCAAATGGATCTCTCATTCCTCTACTTTTCCTTGTAGCCTGTTGTTTGCACCAATTTTCCTCCACACCTCAAGCAGCTGAGATCTTAAACAGTTGCCCCTAGTTATTTTCTCAGAGATCCTCAGGGAGAAGGCTTTGTACACTGGATGAGCTCCAAGTGGGGTCCGATAAAGACAGTCGTCTGGGAATGGGATTTGGAAAGCGCTCCACCCTGCCCGCCCCTACCAGTGGCCTCAGGCCTGCTACTTTCCTGCTTGATTGATTGGGGCTCCTACAGAGCTAGGGTGAGAGATGGGAATAGAACAGGTTAAAACATCAGAGCTCACCGTTCTTTCCAAGATACAGCCAATTTTTTAAAAATAAATGCTCCCTACATCTCTGTCAGCCTGTGGTTAATTTCCAGAGTTCTAAAAATGTTCATTCTGACAGTTTTTGCCAGTTTCTCTTTGCTTTTTCAGAGGGAATTTTTGGAGGTTCTTACTCTGTCATTTTCACTGATGTCACTTTTATATTTTTCTTTACATTATAATTAGATATAGAGTTGAATGGTAGCTGAATTAATAAAGATTCACTGAAACTGGAATGCTTCCTTCTTTCCAGAAACTTCTCTGAACTTTTTGTCCTTCTGTTGTATTTTAGGACTATGATGACGGATATGGCACTGCTTATGATGAACAGAGTTATGATTCCTATGATAACAGCTATAGCGCCCCAACCCAAAGGTAAGCGTCACTCTTTCTGAACAGACCCCACAGCAGACACTTGTGCTGTCCACATTTTATACCCTCTCGGAAAAGGATGACAATTGGCCAGGGAGGGTGACCTGACGTGGCCTTTGTTTTGTTTTAATTGGGGAAACTGTCTGTCCTACCAACTAGCATGTATTGCACTCAAATTTACTGTAGTGCTAAAGCAATGCGTCTTGGAAAATAAAATGTGAAACTTTTATTTTCTCTAAAAATGTAGTTTAAGCATTAGGTGTATTCTAAGGAAGAACAGTGTGTGCCAGGTCTGTGGCTCTCGAGTCCAGAGGCTCCAAATTACCTTAGAAACATGTGACTTTCCTGCTTCGTCAGTGCAGGGGATGGGAGTGATGGAAGTTTTGTTCAGTGTTCATAAATCATTTCTGCTTCTTAGCAATAGTGCTCTTGTTTTCTAACAACTTCAGATTCCCGTTTGTGAAAAATGAGTTAGTTGTGATTCGTTTTCTGAAAAACTGTTTACTTAGAAACGAGTGTTATCAGAGGCGAAACACAGCTTTATAGTCATGGCATAGTAGACCTTGATGTTCATTAGTGTATGAAACCTGTGTGTTCTGTTCAGAATCTTTTCCTAAATCCCGAGAAACCTCTTGCTTTATGCTTAAAATTCTAAGTGGAAGAAAAAGATAGACATACACAAGCCAAAATGTTGGCTGTATGAGGCATAAACTTCAATAAATATGGACTACATGGGTTTTTTGATGAAGCATAAATTCACTCTTGAGCTCATGTGGGGCAAGGCAAGCTTTAAGCAGGTCGGCACTTGGGTCCTGAGGTGGGCAGGGATGTACTTTCTTCTCATTTTGTTCATGCCAGGTTTTTCTCCAGTATGGTGTATCAGAGATTAGTAGCCTTTAAACTTTGACTCCCAGCTGGTCTCCTTTCCAGGAAGCCTCGTGCATGGTGTTTGCATCCTTGAAGGTGTGGGCACACCTGTAGCGGCTTGCACACAGTGTACAGCAGACAAAACTGTGTGTTTCTTCTCAGTGTTCTGGCAGTTTTATGAAGTATGAGGGGCTGTTCCCATTACATAGATGAAGAAAAGAAGCGCAGAGCATAAGTTTAAGTAATTAGTCAAAAATCATAAATGGAGTACAATCCTTTACTCACATGTCTTGTTTAATCTGAACGGCAACACGGGAGTTAACATGTCTGTCATATGGATGATGAAACTGAGGTTGAGAGAAGTAAATAGCTAATGCAGAGTGTGAAGCTGACTTGGAGAGCTTGAGGTCTGCCCATATTAAACTGTGATAACATAGTAATATGATTGATCACAAGCATTCATTCCTGTGGTCATTTATTCAGCCAGTATGTATTAAATGTCCACTACATGTTTTAAATGTAGGCACTGTGCTCAATGTTGGATTACAAAGATTTTTGAGAACAGAGACCCTCTCCTTGGAAAGTTCACAGGCTAGAATGAAATACAAATATTTAAAAGCAATGTGATATGGTAACCACATGAGAGTTTGAGAGAAAATAGTGCTAAGAAGACAATGCTGGAGTCTGATTGGGAACACGGGGGACATTTCACTGAGAGAGTGAAGGGCTAGTAGGGGTCACGAAGGTATGGACACCGAAGGACATCACCCAAAGCCAAGCACAGCATGGAGCGTGTTGTCTGGGCTCGATGGCGTGACGCGCAGGAGAGGAGGCGAGAGGGGGGTGACCGCATCCTCCCGGGCTTGGGGCGCAGGCTCCAGACCGTCAGCAGCACTAGGGAGCCACCGACGAGGTGCGGGTTAGGGAGTGGTGTGTTCACACTTGGGTTTGAAGGTTTAACCAGAAGGCCGTGTAGAGGCCAGGTTCATGGTGAGCCTGGAGGCAGAGACCAGTTAGGTGGCACCTTATAAATTATAAGCACTTTAAACATCAGGGAAGACTCACTTAAAAGGAACATCTTACTGATAGCCCAGCCACCTTCTTGGTCGTGATCTTTTCAGTGCTACAACGCATCTTACCTGAAGGACTGCAGAGAATTGTGTGAGAATTGCACGTGCTGGCAAATGCAGAAATCACTGTTGGTCAGGTACTCTGAATATTCATTTAATCCTCATAACCTATGAAATAGGCATCAGTCCTTTTAAAGAAAGAAGACTGGTTTATAAAAATTAGGTAAACTTGCCTAAGATCATGCATCTTACAAGCTAAGGGGCCCAACTTTGCACCTCAGTCTGTCTGTCTTCCTCTTCAGCAGTTACCCTAAGTCTTGATGAAGCAACTGCGTTACGGAATAGGATGAGGAAGTGTTTCCAGGAGCTGTGTTAATTTGCTAGAGTTACCATAACAAAATGCCACAGACTATTTTAAACAACAGACACTTATTTTCTCGGGTCATAGAGCCCAGAAGTCCGAGATGAGGGTGTTGGCAGGTCTGGTCTCTTCTGAGGCTCCCTCGTGGATGTGCAGCTGGTGCTGGCATGCTGGTCTCCACACAGCCTCTCCTCTGTGGGCACGCACCCCTGCTGCCTCCTTGTACCAGGTTTCCTCTCTTAGAGTGACACCAGTCAGACTCACCGAGGGCCCACGGAAGGCCTCCTTTGACTTCATCACCTCTTTAAAGGTCCTGTGTCTGAACACACATTATAGGTACCGGGGTAGGGCTTCGATTTATGATTCTGGGTGGACAGGTCAGTTCATAATATGTACATATTGTAACATTGGCTTAAGTACAACGCTGTATGTCTCGGAATTAGAAATCTAGTCTAAGCCAGTTAGAGCAAATTTTGAAATCATCTCCCAAATCGAATAGTGGGTACTGACCAGTGAATCTTCATCATTCTCATTGTCAGTACTGAAGGTTGGACGCGTGCTTGGTGTACTGGACCGTGGGCTTCACAGAGACTCTGCTCATTGTGCCCTGAAATACTGCAGAATTCGAGTCTAAGCATGTCATTCCTGCAAGCAGGTTCAGAGAGGTTGACTCACCTGTCTTAACTCACAGGGTTGAGCATTCTCTTTGGTACTCTGCTCCATCATCTTTCAGCTCGCCTTTTGTCATGGTTCTGACTTCAGTTACTTAAATATGTTGATATTTCCCATATGCGTGCATGTCCAGTCACTCAGTCGTGCCTGACTCCTTTGTGACTCCATGGACTATAGGTCCACCAGGCTCCTCTGTCCATGGGATTATCCCAGCAAGAATACTGGAGTGGGGTGCCATTTCCTCCTCCAGGGGATCTTCCCGACCCAGGGATTGAAGATCGAACCCAGGTCTACTGTGTCTCCCACACTGGCAGGAGGATTCTTCACTTTCATCAAACCTGAGAATTTCATTTATCTTCATGCTAATGTTGCAGGCTAAAACTAGATGTCTACACTTCATGTGCTGTATCATTTTATCACACTTTTGTTGCAGGGAAAAAGTTTCTCTCAGGAGGTTTACAAATTAGGAATTTTCTCTATCAATTTTCAAATACCTTGTATGAAAATTAGGCTACAAATGAGAGTCCCTACAGAGTTCTAGAAAATTCAGCATAATTCAGCTACGTTTCCCATCAATGTTTGTAATGACCTCGTACCGCAGTGTAAAACAAGCGTTGTTTACCTGACTTCACACACTTAATGAGCAACAAGCTCTCACCTATTTCTGTGAAGAAAAATATGAACTGTTCTTTACAATATTAGCATTATTATAATATACATCGGCATAAAAACAGTTACTGATTCATCCCTGTGGGCGCACGGCCCTGGAGTAGCTGTGAGGAGTAAAGGAGCGGATGATAAATGGCCTCAGCGCTCCACCTGCACCTGCCCTGGTGTGACCCAGGCCTTCCCAACTAAGCGGGATTAGTTTTCATTTGATGTCTTATTTGTCATTCTAACAACAGTCACAATTTTATAGCATGATGACTGTAATTAATAATATAGTATTGAGTTTGGGAAATTTGCTAAAAATTTCAGATGCTCTCATCACATACACCATAGGTAACTATGTGATGAGATCTGTTAGTTACCTTGACTGTATTCAAATTTCAGAATATTTTAGTCTGTGTTTCTGAATATTTGTAAATTCTCTAAAAAATATTTGATTCCTCTAATGATCAATTGTAAGGAAAGTGGAACAAAAAAGGTTTCCAAAAAGTGCTAATAACCCCCTAAGCATAAGTGGATGACTGTGTAGTAACAGTTATTTTCTGGCGGGTTTAATGTTGACGTACTAATTTCCCATAGCAGTTTGTGGTTTGATGGTACTTTTACGTACTTATTTCATTTCATCCTCTACAATCTCTGTGATTTTCCTGAAAACACTTAGAAATACTGAAAAAAATTAGACATAAGAGCTGCTAGTTTGGTGAGAATCTATTAAGTCTTGCACTCAGCCGTCTATGTCCTTTATATGCGTTACCTCCAGTTTTCACAATGGCCCTACCTGCTGAGTTTTTCCATGTATAGAAGTTGAAGATGTGATGTTTAGCAACTTTCCCAAGAATACACTGCTGAAGAGTACTTAAGCTTAGGTTTTTGTCTGTCTAAAAACCATTATCCAGCTAAGAAAAAATTTTAGAATACAAAATTATTGACTTGTTTTTATGACAAAACAACACCTAAGCGCTTTTATCCAAATAGGCAGAGTAATGGAGGCTGTCAAGAAGCTCCACATATTATAGCTGTGTTTTCAGACGCCAGTTGCAAGGAGAACAATGAGCCAGAAGTTAATGCTGCCGTCTGCCCTGCTCTCTAGTTTGCTGTGCTTCTCTTGGCAGCTTTAGCATTATATGTGCAGTAATGTCTTCTCAGGAGCTGACTTGAGAGATGTGAATATAATTTGTGATTTTCACCTTGGAAATGATGACCTGTTGTTCAGCTTAGGATGTAGCATTTCAACATCAGTAAAATCACTGTGTATTGGAAGATCACGTTGTGTTGTTTCAGGGTTGGCTGTTTTGGACTTTTAAAAACAGTAATGGTTTGGCCTGGATTAACCACGCCTTGCAGAATTCTTGTGAAATATGCTT